AATAAAGGATTATTATAAAAATAAATAGACATAATATGTTTATATTATTTAATGAAACATGTTTGAGTGAATATATGCTGCCTAAATATAAACATATATATTCAGTAATATATATATTCAGTAACATTTTTATTACAATTATTATTTTAAATATGTTAAAAACAAATAAATCATTATTTGCGAAAGTATATTCATACAATAAAAAAGGCTCATTAATTATAATCGACACAAAATGGCTACTGTTTATAACCTCATACATAGATACATACATATATATGGTGGACTCTCCTGTCATATTCGGCGTATAAGGGTCAAGCATCTCAGTTCCTAGGAAATAACAGCCCAGACACCAGCACATATGATTTGATTATAGTGGTGAAGGTTTTGTGCAGAACCAACCAAATTTTTTGAAGGGCCGAATGCAGAAACCTGGTGAACTACGTGCCACAGGGTCCCTAAACAAACCTCCGCAGGTTTTGAATTTAGAGTTGTCCTTCTCCTAGACCAGTTGACATCTATACAAACCTCGGTAGCAGGTATTTCTCCAGTTTGCTCGGTTTTCAACTGTAAGTTCGAACTCCTCTATAGGGATGTTTGCAGCAATTAAATTGTATTTAAGTTTATCCTTGAAGCGTAACCAAGGACGGCCCACATTACGCTTACCATGAAAGAGTTGGCTATACATGAGGATTTTCGGCATCCGATCATCACTCATTCTGATGACATTACCAGCCCATCTGAACTGTGATTGCATCAGAAAGGATTCGATACCACCGACATCATATTTGATGAAAAGATCATGGTTTATATATATATATATATATATATATATATATATATATATATGTATGTGTGTGTGTGTGTGTGTGTGTGTGTGTGTGTGTGTACGTGTGTGTGTGCGTATGTGTGTATGTATAAGATAACGATATATATCTGGATAGATCAAGAACAGTATTGATGAAAAAAAAAAAAAAAAAGTTTACGCGTTTCATCCTTCAGAATATATAAACTTATATAAAATATACATAAAGTCAATCAGGGTATTTCTGAAAGCTAACTTTTGGTTTAAGATAAGTAGGATTTGTTATTATAGTGCTCGATACCATGTGGTATAGAAATGACAAAGTAATAAATAAAATTAACTGCTCACTGATCTTTTCCTAGCTCCGAGTCTTGCAGAGTTTACATCCACTAAAGTTTCCCTGACAAGTATATTTAATTCCACGAAACTCAGAATAGGGATAAGATAATATTTAACTATATATATATATATATATATATATATATATATATATATATATATAGAGAGAGAGAGAGAGAGAGATTCCATAGGGAGTAGAAATTAAAAATATGACGTTGAATAAAATTTTAAGAGAAGAACGGAAATTAAATAGCGAAGACTGAAAAGACAGTATGAAAATGTAGAAGTGAAAAACAAAAAGAAAAAATATCCCCAGACAGCTCGACAAGACTTCGAAGAAAATTTACTCAACATTTGTCAATTTCGACGGTCATATACATTTTTCCTTGGCAGCCATTTTCATGTGCACACATATTACACAGGGCAGACACGCATAGCTTCGTACTTATATCTTTTCAAACACACACATAAACAGTCGCGCGTGTGCGCACACATACACGCACACGCACGCAGGTCATTGAAATCTCTTTTACCTGGGTACCACCTTAAGTTTGCTTCTTCGGAAATCGCTTGGTTTTGATAGATAGATAGATAGATAGATAGATAGATAGATAGATAGATAGATAGATAGGAACAGACTGAGATAGATAGATAGATAGATAGATAGATAGATAGATAGATAGATAGATAAATAGATAGATAGGAACAGACTGAGATAGATAGATAGATAGATAGATAGATAGATAGATAGATAGATAGATGTCCAAAACTAAAATGCTCTCCGTTAATCATCTGAGAGACAGCTCTTTGCCTTCCATCAGCCTGGTTGATACTATCCTCCAAAAAGTGACTCATTGCGCCTTCTAGGCCTGACGTTCTCAACTGATTCATCACCAGATCAGCTGCTAAGAAAGTCGGTTCCCTGTGTCGAGCGAGACAATTTTTCTGTTGCCATTTTCCTGGAGCTCCTCGATAAGATCCAAAGAAGAATCAGCAATATCCTCATCTGGCGGCTCATCTTCAGTCACTTGCCCACCCCAGTAAGGTTGACTTTCTGTGTCTTTTCTCTAAATACTTGTATGGTAATTATTCAGATGAGCTCTTCGATATGGTACCTAGATTTTTTTTTAATTTAAGCGCAGTACTAGACTGGCGTCGAGATCTCATCAATTTACAGTTGAGCTAGCTATAGAGGTGGTCGTGATTTCTATGTTAACAGTTTCTATCCTCACACTTCTCGCTTGTGGAACTTCCTCTCGACTCCATACTTTCCAACCAATTTTAATCTGCAAAAATTAAATGCAATGCCAATCGCTATCTACTCTTGTGCTGAATGCTCTTTTTTCTTTCTACTCATTACTAATGTTTCTGTCCCAAATTCCACCACACCCTCTAACCAATTGCATACTAGTGATTGTAATACCTTACTTACGGTGATACCGATTAAAAAAATAGGTATGAAGACAGTGAGCTAACTAGCTAGCTAGCTAGCTAGCTAGCTAGCTAGCTAGATAGATAGATAGATAGATAGATAGATAGATAGATAGATAGATAATGAACAGACTGAGATAATGAACAGACTGAGGGAGATAGATAGATAGATAGATAGATAGATAGATAGATAGATAGATAGATAGATAGTGAGCAGACTGAGCTAGCTAGATAGCTAGCTAGCTAAGTAGTTAGATAGATAGAATCATGATTTCACAGTAAAATTTGTTTAAGATTATTCGACAAAAAAACCTGTTTTCTTTTTCCATGACATTTACATAAAAAGGAGGGAGAATTTGAATGACCTGTCGCTCTCCGACCGAAGACGTTTCCTTGGAGCCGAACACTCTATTCGAAAACTATGAAAGAAATTATGTCCACACCCTGTTCAAGATTATACTCTGAATAACTGCAGTTGCCCCCAAGGGCGAAGTGAAGGAAGAACCCAATTAGGGTGATGGGCATTTGATTATCCCATTGCAAGAAACGGTAGTAGGAAGAATTAAAAGGAGGAGAAGTGGGAAGAGTGTAATTATCGCTGTTTATTTTGATGATTATGATGGTAATGCTGGCTGTGATGATAAGGGAGACGCCTTAATAATGATGATAGCTGCTGTGATGATAGTGGCGGGTATGGTAGATGAGAAACAAAATGGTTAATGGCGACTGTTGTTGATAAACGCAGCTGTTTGTGTTGAAGGCTTTAATTTCATCGAATTTTGGACGGTGAGAGAGTGAAAGAAAGAAAAGTTGATAGAGAGAGAGAGAGATAATTAAAAAGATGACAGTGAATTAAAGAGAGATGACGAAGAATAAAGGCTAAAAATTTATGAAAGTAGACAAGATAAGGTTAAAAACGAAAAGAACGAAAAAGAACGAAAAAGAACGAATGTAATGAATATAAAGAAGGAAAGGAATAAAATAAAGAAATGCGAAGGAAATCTAAGAGAAAGACATAATGAATGAAAAAATGAATGAAAAAGAAGACGTGAAGGATAGAGAAAAGAAGAAGCAAATGAATAAAGGAAGGAAGTGTAAAAGAAAGAATAAAATAAAGAAACAAAAAATGAAAAAGACGATGATTATAAAAGAGAGAGAAAAAAGAATAAAAGAGACGAAGAAGAAAGTGTAAAAGTGAAAAAGGATATAGGAAAGAAAAAAGGGTTATAAACAAAAAAGAAAAAATCGTGAAATAAATAAAAATGGAAAACGTAAACAAAACCTCGACCGAAAAAAAAGAAGATGGAGAGAAAAGAAAGAAAGAAAGAAAGAAAGAAAGAAAGAAAGAAAGAAAGAAAGGGAATATTAGAGCTAATATACACGATATCCGTAAAGTATGACACATAAATGCATATTTTAAAAAAAAAGAATTTTCAACAAAATTTTATTTAATTTGAATATTACCAAATATCTTCGATATGATCTCGAGTCATCGATTAGGGACATCCTCTGTGAAGTGATGCAACATTTGTAACTTGTACGAATGAAACTTTTGCTCTTTTAAGATACGACTGAGGACTGTTTTGGAAAATTGCTGTAAGCTCAAGTTTTGAAAAATGTAAGTTCAATCCCTGCGTCAGGCAGTGTGTGTTCTTGGACTCAGTGGAAACGCACGAGTAATAGGTGATTAGTACTAAAATAAAATAAGTACAAAAATAAATAATAGACGAGATATCCCTAGATAGGGACAGTGAAACGAGAACAGTCTACTCCTGTAGATTAAATAAAGTAATCAATTCAAAATTCCATGTAGGTTATGCATATCGTTATAAACGTGATGAAGGCCGGATGGCACAACGGCCGAAATGTTATGATAACAACAACAAAGATGAGGACAACAGTATCAAATAGTTGAAGTAAAAGGAATTTTAAATACACACATTCTTGCATAGATCCGAAAGTATATTGTTTCTATGAAAATCTTCGTAAGCTGAAATGGCATAAAGTGAACAAGCAGTGCGAAACAATATTTAGCGTTCGCAGACCCCGACACTCCGCAAAAAACAAAAGTCTTGCATGAAATGTTCGCTACAATCTTCAGTGCTGCGAAAGTAGTAGAAAGAGCAGATTTTAAAAGTTTCTTTTTTTTTTTTTTAGCGGGGTGCTCACTAAGAAAGATTGATTGACTTGTTTTTACGGCTTATCAACCCTTTGCAGATTATTTAAATTCAGAAAATATTTTTAGATTGTAATAATTTTTCGGGGATAATAATAATTTTTACTGATGCAAGTTCTAATATTTAACCGATAGATTGGGAGGGAAGAGGTGGATTGATAACTTTCTCAAGGGTATTTGCTCGTAAGTAAATATAACGAATACAATGTCCAATTCCGAGCCATTATCCATCAGACAACTCGCACATCCAAGCTTACAACCCCTGTTATTCGCAATCAGTCACCCATCAAGATACTGACAAAGCTCAACGTTGCTTAACTTCGGCTCGTACGAGAACCAGTGTTTCAAGGTGATATGGCTGTATGCCTACTAAGAAAGAAAGAAATTATTCTGGTGCGAATAACAAAGCATATATAATAGTGATAAGTCCACGTCTGAAAAATTCCGACAAAGAGAAATCATTTTTCTTCATCTTTTATGTACCGTGTCCCTTCAGAGAGTAGGCGATCGTGTCCCTCCACATCATCCTGTCCCTTGTAGATAATAAGCTTTGTCTTCTTGTTATTTCTCCCAAACCCTGTTCTACCATCCATTTGCTCAAGCTCATCAAGTATGTTAATGCTGCTTTCCTTTGTCCCTCTTTCCATCAATCTGTCCTGTGAGTATCAGATTTTTCAAGCCCTATTTCCTCATTAAATGCCACAGAAATTTCAGCTAACTCTTCCTGACGTTAAGTATCCTTTTTGTTTATATTTTCTCCAAAACCTCGTTGTTGCTCATATGTTCGGTCCATGGTATCCTCAGCATCTTTCTGTAGCTTCAAGTCGCTTCTTCATGTTTAAGGAGATTGTCCAACATTCACTGTTATATAGGAGGACAGATATCATGTAACAGTCCAGTATACTTTTCTTTGTTTCTAACGAAATTCTTATGTCTCTGTTGAAACTTGAATAAAGCATGGAATAATAATAATACAACACAAAATGTACTTAAACAAAATTTATTGACACAAGAACGTGTACACAATATTTACAGATAGTTTGGTATATTCTTGGGAAGACCGTTCCTGTAGAATGGGTTGACTTAGTCGCAATCGGGCAGAGTCTCTGGATTGGATCTCTTCTTACTTCCTCCCCCGTCTTCCCGGTACCAACCCATATTTATATGGTCGGTACTCAACTATGTAAATTAGGTGGATCGTACCACAACAGTCTCTTAATACTCTGCTTAGCTTTTGGAATGCATATTTAGCCATCCCAAGACGTCTTCGGATCTCAGTGTCGCACTGTCCTCTGTTAGAACATTTCCCAGATATTTAAATTTCTGCACTTGTTTGAGCTTAGTATCCGCGACTTGTAATTTGCATTTTGGGCGCATCCTTTTGCTGATAACCATGCATTCTGTCTTCGTGCAATTTACATTTAGTCCTTTGTTATCGCTTTCTTTCGCTACCTTTTGTAGTTTCCCTTCTGTGCTTAATATCAACACTGTGTCATCTGCACATCTAATGTTGTTACGACTGTGACCGCCAATAATGAATCCTGATAGGAATTGTAATTCTCTCAGAATTGACTCGTTATATAGGTTGAGTAAATCCAATGAGAAAACACAGATGCTTCACGTTCGGATATAAAACCTCTAGGATATTTTTGAAGCACTTTGAGATATCTATCTGTCATAAAAATACATGTTTTATAAGATGCAATGTGTTTATTGGATTAAGTTTCTCCACAATAAATATTCACTCATTTAAGTGCCATACGTGATACACGATTGGGCGATCATGTATCTTTCGATCCATGACTGACTAGGCAGAAGATTTTTTCCGCAGTAGGTTTCCATTTCTTTCTGTGGAAGACTAGTTGCCAACCAAGGCAATAGAACCTAGTCTGCCCTACTATTTAACCTATAGCTGGGATGGGGGAAAATAAATAGATTCATACCTTTTCTTGCGCGTAAGTGAATGTAACGAACACGACTGGAATTCGAACTCGGCTCTCAAATTTCTCATTCCGAGCCGATATTCTCTACACCACAGCTCAATAAAACAATACGGTCCTAAAAAAAATACAAAAAGGCGTGAGGTTAAGCAGTCAAGCATAATATCAAATTTCAAGTTTTCTACCATTAACCACAAAAACAACAACCTTCGACCTTCGACACTGAATCAAGCAGACATAGAAGAAAACTATTTTTAGTGATCTTGGAACGTTAAAAAATATTTCATAAAAATCAGATAAATTTCTTTTTCGTTTTGCACCATTTCGGATAGCTGAAGAAACATCTACTCGTTGTAGTTCTTTCGTAAATGCCAAATGGCGTAAAATGAAAGTCAGATATACTTGTAAAATTACCGTTTGTCTTTACGTAGGAAGACAAGACAAAAAGTAAAAAGTTTTCGGACAAGGGTAGATTTTTGAATAAATATAGTTTTTTGTTCACATCGACAGACAGAAGAAACGAGAAACAGAACTGGAAACAGACAGATGCGAGAGAGACAAAAGCGAAGAAAGAAATAAAAAAAGAAAGAAAGAAAGAAAGAAAGAAAGAAAGAAAGAAAGAAAGAAAGGAAGCTAAATAAGCGAACTTAACAGGAATGAGGAAAAAGAGGTTAATGAAAGAAAACATGACCAAAAGAAAGAATTGAACGAAATGAAGAAAAAAATTGAAATTATCGAAATTACAAAGAGAAATAAATCAAAAAGATTTATCTCTGATCTCAAAGATAGAATTAATTAAACATATATTAAAATTTGCATTTACTCTTAATTCTGACATAGACTGTGATACAGCAAACTTTTGCCCAAATGCGCAGAAAGTTCTCGACAGTTGAAAATTGATATAAAGCGAAAAGAAAGAAAGAAAGAAAGAAAGAAAGAAAGAAAGAAAGGAAAAAAAATTAATAAATAAGCGAGATAAAATTTCTGTCTTAGTAAGTCTGATCCGTTGGTTGATTGATTTTATATCAACACCTCTATGGGTCATTTAATGCCGAAATCTAAATATCTGGAAGGTAATTATATGCCTTTAACTACAGATAGAGTGGTCATTTTTCTTTAAAAATGTATTGCTGGTAATTTTCGTATAAATAGGTATTTTTGGTTTCTTTTTATATAGAAATGTATTGTCCGTATTACTATAAAAATGAATTTTTATACTTTCATAGTGTTTTGTTTTTGTTTAGAGGTTCACTATTTGCCCATAGCTGGGACCCTAACAGGTGCTACCACTCTCAGGTGACGGTGGAGCTTGGAACAACATCAATTAAGAGGTGGTTCCACGCTCCTCAAACCTCCTAACCTCCCAATCAGAGGCCTTGCAGCCGGATGTAGTTTATCGTTATACCCAGGACTTGATACGTTCTATAAGGTCAAATTGGCAATTGATCTAAAAAATGATCTACATTCTGTTGTTAACAGGGGTCAAGGAATGGCTTGTTAATTTTAATGCCTGCATAACGAAATTGTCCTCTTTTAATCGTCTGAGAAAACCATTTTTTACCTTCAATCACCATGGCTGATGCTAACCTCCGACAGAATGATTCATTTTTCGCTGACATGAAATGGAAAGATTATATTGAATCAGTTGCCAGTTCAGCTGCTAAAAAAGTTGGTTCACTGTGTCGTGCGAGACAAGTTTTCTCTCTAAAATCTATCTTACATATCTATGAGTTTACCATTCGTCCTTGCTTTGAATATTACTGCCACATCTGGTTTGCTTCACCTGCTATATATTTAAGGATTTTTGATAAAATTCAAAGAAGAATTTGCAATGATATTGCTCCTGATCTGGAATTTCGGCTTTAGCCACTTTCCCACTACTGTAATGTATCTTCCCTGTGTCTTTTCTATAAATACTTTCATGGTAATTGTTCTGATGAACTTTCCTCTATGGTACTTGGACTTTATGAATTCAAGCACAGTACTAGATTGTCTTGCTGGCTAGATATAACCGTAAGTTCTATGCTAACAGTTTCTTCTCTCGCACTTCTCGCTTGTGGAATTTTCTTCCGGCTTCTTGCTTCCCAGTCAACTTTGATCTTAAATCTTAGTCATTATCTTATGTCTCTTACGACACAGCAAATTCTAACAATAAGATTATTATCATTTAGTAATGGATTTGAATGGTTTGAATATTTTATCAAGGTTCCGGTGTAGCTTATCTTAGATGTGGCAACAAGTATGTAGCACCCAATGTGGATAGAATTCACTACTTATCGCGTCGAAGTGTCCAAAAGCCGGGGTTATTCTCGGCTAGGCTGTTTTATACCAGGATGTAAATTAGGCTAGACCAGTTCATACATCGTGTATAAAATGGTCGAGTTTAGAATATACTCCCTCCATCCTAGGCCGGAATAAACATGATCCATTTTAGCATGCAAAAGAATATACACCATCTTTTTACGATGTATTCACATATTGTATGCAGCGATAATAGTCGGGCATAGATACCTTCTTTGGTGCCTTTTTTTGCAACAGTCCTTTATTTTACTCTGATATTTACGCATTAATAAACCTGACTTCTTGATGTTAATTAAATGTTTAGTTTTGCCCAACATTTGTCTCAATTGAACCAGACGAGTTCTTTTCCGAAACATGGACCTAAACTATTGAATGTTTCCATACCAAAACTATTATCAGTTTATAGACCGGGCTTTTTACATCACATTCTAATTAAAAAGTAAACTGTTGATACTAAAAGCAAAGGGGGCATAAATTGGTCTATCGTCTAGAATAGGCTATTTTTTATCATACCTTATTTGGGATTGGCTAAACTATATTCTGGAAATGATTCATCTTGGCTGCTACATAGTCTTCTTTTATCAGTACAACTTTATCACGCTCTTGTTTGACTCCTGTCGTTTTCTGTACGAACAAATACATAGTTCTTACTGGAATATTATTAAACATTTTACATTAAAATATATCGTTACAATGATCTTACAATAGAAATGCATTGAAAATAAAGGAAGGGATTGTCAGTGGTCAAGAATCCGGATAAATCTTACTAACAGATAAAAAAAAGTCTTATATATATAATAAGAGATGATAAACTAAAAACGCAAATACTATCTTAAAGAAACATGAACAATATATTTTTTCCATAATGAAATAACGTTGTTAAAATTTCTAGAACTCCAATAGCGAAAACTAATCAGTGTTGTGTCCACGTTGGTAAGAAGTCAATAAACCCCAAAAATGGTGATAGATAATTATGACAGCATATACTCGTGTTTTAGTCGATCCCTTTTTCGGTTTATTTTTTGCCAAAGTATGATATATATATATATATATATATATATATATATATATATATATATATATATATATATATATATATATACATACACACACACACACACAC